GGCGTCAGAGAAGGCGGGAACTCTGGAGGGGCTATCCAGAGCGTCCGCCGGTGCCGGATAGTAGAAGGGCCTTTAGCAAAGGTGGGCCACGAAATAAGGGGGCTCTCGGCTCAAATGAATAACTTATTGCTGACCATGCAGCGGTAGCATCTTCAGACGCAACCAAGTGCCGATCGGCTAGATCATTTACCCGCAAAAGACCATAAACCATAATTGTATTATGCAAGGCCGAATGTTAGCAAAGGCCAGCCAAAACTACTTCAATCGCTGCTGTCAGCTTAATCCTTAGGGCCTTACCAACAGACCTAAGGAGACCAAGGACTTCGTCTTTGTCATACAGCTGTGAGCGTCATTGTGAAGTCACTTCGTGGACTCGATGTGGGCGTTAGCCGAAGCAACAGCAGCTCCGTCTAAGCGTGCCTCGGCTCGGCTATCCCCTCTAACCGGACTGCACACAGTTTCACTAATTTAGCACACCTCGACTGGCCTTGCCTTGCTATGTACGATTTTTCGATATTTTCCATGTGTCCTCCACACACGCATACACACACAGCTGCATAAAAATGGCACACAATGGTAAAGTTGTTTCTTGGTTTAGGCATTTAGAAGACACAATTTAACATTTACATGTCACTAAAGCAGTCGACCCTGCCCAGGGGGATGGTTATCAGCTTCGAAAAACTGGAATTGAGAGCGCTTAAAAGAGAACTCCTCGAGGTTTGAATAGATGCGAAGTGTGCAATGGGCCGGAATGAATTTAAGCAAATGGGCGAAAACTGCGCCCGGACGGATGTTCAGTACACGGACAAGATCGATTCAATATCGATTGCCGCAGCCGGACAAGGTTCACGGCGACGAGACCTGAACATGGATCAAAACTTATAATCATTTGCTCTGGACTGCTGAGAGCACGCTCAATATGGCCGACCCCAACGATTGGCCGCAAATGCTTGAAGGACCGTATGAAGCCCAGGTTATAGCTGAGTTCCTTGTCGTGTGGTCTCTAAATGTAATTTCAGGCAACAGTGTTGTACTCATGAGATAGGGACAAAAGCACGCCCAAACCATCCCACTCGCCATTAATAATCGGCCGGACAGATCCTTACAGTACAGACCATCACGGTCTTACAATATCCGGACGGATGAATACACTGTCTTCGAAATCTGCTAGGAGGCAGTACACCAGGTGGTCTGCTTTGGGGAAGCAAACCGATCTTGAACGACGCTGCGATCGAAAATGTCGTGCATCCACTGCACAGGACAGAAAGAACAGCGGACTCTAGTTAGCCGAGACACTGCTTAATTCAGCCTGTAGCTAAAGTAACAGCGTA